GGAGGAGCTGAGGCCTGAGGTTGAGGGAGCACTATCTTCTGATCTTGAAGGTGAGGTAGGATCTTCTTCCTGTGGATGTCGGAGAGTCAGCAGCTGAGGAGGAGCATCAGGAACAGGAGGAGACACCTGCTGCCATCTCTGGTAGAAATCCTCCGGTAACTGCTGGTCCAAAAGGGAGAGAGATCTGTTGTCCTCCTCTTCATCTTCATCCTCGAGGTCCTCTTCAGAGTCATACATGGATTCATACCCAGAATCCTCCCTGAACCAGCCTGAGAAGTCCTCCTCGCCCTCGTCCTCGGTCGCCTGTTCCCTCTCGTCCTCGCTCTCCTCTTCACTCTCCTCTCCATACCCCTCATAGCACTCCTCTTCCCACTCCTCTCCCCTCTCCTCTTCGTACTCCTCTTCCCACTCCTCTCCGTTCTCCTCTTCATGCTCCTCTCCCCTCTCCTCTTCACTCTCTTCTTCACTCTCCTCTCCATACACCTCATAGCACTCCTCTTCGCTCTCCTCTTCGATCACGTCATCCTCATCTTCATCCTCAGAGGACACTGGAGGAATGTCCCCTGGTCTGGCTTCCTCTTCTACTGCAGAGGAGGAATCAGGGTTGTCATCCAAATCAGAATCGCTGTCATCAACCACAGAGGGATACTCCCAGAATCCTCTTCTTCTGTAGGAGCCTAAGGTGGATGGAGTGGAGTCCATGTAGCTCTCCTCCCTGCTCCTCTTGGTGGAGGAGCTGAGGCCTGAGGTTGAGGGAGCACTCTCCTCGTAGCATTCCTCACAGTCACACCTGGGCCTCTTACTACTTACCTGCTCTGTGAGGATCTCCTCCCTGCTCCTCTTGGTGGAGGAGCTGAGGCCTGAGGTTGAGGGAGCACTATCTTCTGAACTTGAAGGTGAGGTAGGATCTTCTTCCTGTGGATGTCGGAGAGTCAGCAGCTGAGGAGGAGCATCAGGAACAGGAGGAGACACCTGCTGCCATCTCTGGTAGAAATCCTCCGGTAACTGCTGGTCCAAAAGGGAGAGAGATCTGTTGTCCTCCTCTTCATCTTCATCCTCGAGGTCCTCTTCAGAGTCATACATGGATTCATACCCAGAATCCTCACTGAGCGAGTCTGAAGAGTCGTCCTCGTCCTCGGTCTCCTCTTCACTCTCCTCTTCATTCTCCTCTTCCTGCTCCTCTTCGCTCACCTCATCCTCATCTTCATCCTCAGAGGACACTGGAGGAATGTTCCCTGGTCTACCTACCTCTTCCTCTGCTTCCATGTCATCCGAAATCCAGATTACTTCCTCCTCATCACCAGAGGACACTGAACAAATGTCCACTGGTATACCTACCTCTACCTGGTCCTCCTCCTCCTCCTCGTCATCCAAGACCCAGATGACTTCCTCTCCATCACCAGAACACTGGGGGAGTGTGCTCTGGTATACCTACCTCTACCTCAGAATCATCGTCCTCCACGATCCTGATGCTGATCATCTCGGGGAGGCCGTCTGCTACAGGACGTACCACTGAGGGAGACAAAAATAAAGCATCAGTATACCTGATTTCAAAATGTAACAACCTCTGATTAAATAACAACATCTGTGTAAAGTTAGCACTGCATTTGTCTGTATACTGACTAAGATTGCAGCCTAAACAATCCCAAACCAGCCACAAACCTTAGGCCCTTTAACAGTAATACAAAATATTGCGACGCTCTACTTTGATGATTTTTTTAAGCTGTGTTCATGCAACACTTGATGAAAGTCATACTTTTTTTCTGCTGGAAAAAACATACATACAAGGATGTTGATGTGTGTGTGTGTGTGTGTGTATATATATATATATATATATACACACATATATATACATATACGTCAGAAGACCCAGGTTATAAACTAGAAATTTACAATTTGGTCATTTTTTTTAAAGCCTTTTATAGATTAGTCCTGTTTTACTGGTGTATTTACATACATGATGGATAAACAAACATAACACTGACAAATGTTACAATTCTAGGATTTTCTAAAAATAGTCAAAGTAAAGTCTACTTAGAAGAATCTCCAACCAGCGCAGAGCTCGGTATTATATAGAAGGGACTATTTTAAGGGTAGCTGGTTTGCCTGAGTTAGCAAATATTTTTGTATCAAAATTGCGTATGATGATAGGCCACTGTATCAAATTTGATTTAATAAAAAACGCAATTGAAAGCATGAATTATGACATTGAACTCAAATATAGTAGGCCTAAATGAGTATAAAACCCATGATCGTAATTTGATGTAATGAGAACAGCTTGAAAATAAAAGCACAAGATAATTCAATATTATCTCCACATCAAAACAAATGTACCGAATGTCCAATCCTCAGATAACAACGTGCCTAGTTACTGACGTTCTGACGTCATGGATCTCGCTAACGACGGTCTCCATGGTGCAAAACAAAATAATATATTTAGCATTTTACGAAATTTGGCCTGGTCGCCATCTTTTTCAGATAATTTATATTTAATTTCTTAACAAAATTGTTGCTCTTAAACAAAAATAACAGTATTTCAAATCACCCCGACACTTCCTAATTAATGCCACAATTGGCGCGCTAAGTATTCAGACATTACAGCGATCAAAACGTTTTTTTACACAGGAAAAACAGTGAGAAAATCAAAGTTCACCAAACATTAGTTTTTTCATTGAGGCCTAATAACATCACGAGAGCTCTCGACTTTAAATCTCACATTTAAAAAAAAGGTTTGACTGATAAAATGTTAGAGCGTTTATGGAGATTAATAAATTAATCAGTGAAATGTCAATGGTAAAAAAAAAAAAGGTCACATTTGACATACCTCCACCGCTGTCAGACAAGTGTTGGGCGGACAGGTGCTCCTCGTCCATCACCGGTCCGCTGAAGGCGATCTCCGAGCTCTTCGGTGACCCCGATAGGTGTCCCACTGAGTCCAAGAAGTTCTTTTCTTTCCTGTTGTTTTAGAAGAAGTGTTCTTGTAGAAGATATTGATGCAGCGCTTTTAAATAGTTAGCTTTCCAGCAAGGTCTTGCAAAAAGGTCAACTCTCGTCAAAGTTCAATTGCAAAAGGGGAAAGTTGAACGGTGTGCGGCCCTTATATAGCCTCGGTTGGTTGTTACCATGGTGTTTGATGACGCGCGTGCGTGCGCGCGTGCGTGCGTGCGTGAGTGCGTGTAAAACTAGTCGGGAGATGCGTCAGGCTCAACGCCGGTATCCGCAACCGACTTTAGTCTGGATGTGAGGAGACGGTCGTTACGCATGGCGGAGATGATTGTTTTTTATTTGCACGAGCTGCTCTTTGTGGCTCACTCCACAAGAAGCTTTGTTATTATTAGTCAAACTTTTGTTTTACATCAGTGAAGACAGGAGAAACTGGTAAGAAGTGTGGACTGAACCGAAGACCGTCATGATGCGTGCGCAGTGCAGCGGTGTGCCTGTCGTCAAGTCCCGTAGCTCTGATTCTGGCAACTTGTGAGCAAATAAAACTAAAGAAATATCGCTCCTTTTGAAAACCTGCATTCTGTGTCACCTCTCTCAGGTGTTCAGTCTGTTTGCTGATTAGCGTAATGCAGGAGCAGCTCGTGCGCTCTGCCACTCGTCTTTTTTATGATTACTCCCTGCTGAGAAGATAATTCAAAGTGCCCCGTTTAATTAATATTCGTATCATGATATCAACCTTTACGTTGCTCATTTTACATAGGTTTACATCTATTTGATTCAAAACGATTCTGGATTCAAAGTCTATTTTTGAATGAGTACATACTTCAGGATCTACTCCAGTCATTTGTGAGACTGGCTGAGTTTTTGCTGCTCCATTTGGCATTCTACTGAGTTAAAGAGTTAACCTGAGCACTGAGCAGGGAGTGACTGATTGGCCAAAACAAAACAAAAAAACGTTTTTTGGAAGTTATTAATCTATTTAAAATCTCAGAAGATGAGAATCTTGATAGAATCTCGATTTTTTTTTTTTTTTTCATGAATACATTTTTCCCACCTCTGTTGTTTAGGTTATAGATATAAGACTTATTTTTCAACAACAGCCTGATAACATTACAGAGAACTAAAGAACAGCTCAACCCTCTGCCACATACTATGTACTAAAATGCTGTGTAATAATGTTATTCTACAAGCTAGTTAGCTTCATCAATTAAATACCAATTCTAGTGCTGACAGCCACCTTTTAAGCCTTAATACGTTGTAACATTATAGCAGACGGTGCTGAGAGTCGGTATGAACCATGAGTCAAATCATTTTTTCAGCATATCTGAATTTCAACATCATTCCATGTTTTACTCTGGGAATTTATGATGCTGGCTCTTTTTTGTGTTCTATAAATGAAAAGGAATTTTCAATTCATCGCCCACTCTAGCAGGGAGTATTTTAAATTATCAGAGCAAACTCTGCTGGAAAAAACATGTTATAAACATCATTTCTAAACCATCCAAAGCGTTCATTTCAACGTATCATGCTCTTAAAAAGGTTTTTATATTTGAGCTGGTGGAAGAAGAAAAAACAAGAAAATCTGATTTGATTTAGCAGAGAAAAGCGCAGGTCAGGGGCGCCGGATGGCCTAGCGGTTATGACCCACACCCCTCACCGAAGTGTACCGTGGGTTCAAATCCATTTTCTGCATATCATCCCTCACTCTCTCAACATTTCCTCTCTCTCTTTTTGGGCGGTCCTATCCAATAAAGGAAAATATCACCCAAAGATATAACTTCATAAAAGAGAGTCCCCATATTTAGTCTTTGAGGCTGAAAACTCAGTTCGACTTGGTTTGAACTCTAGATGTTACTCCACTGCAGAATCAAAAAAGGTTAAAAGAGGATACCATCGATGTTCTATTTAACCGCACTTTTGCATAACCTCTCACAATAAACACACATGTCCTCAATCACGAGTGTAAACAATGGAGCCCTTCATGGTGTCGCAGTGTGAGGGCACACGTGTTTGTATCTTTGCTGAACAAACACTTTTGTGTGTTTTTTTTGTTTCAGACCTTCATATTCACTGACGGTGAGGACAAAGAGCTGCAGAAGAGAACGGGTAAGGAGCGGGACCAGAGTGATTCTTCAGATGTTTCCTCTTTTGTTTTGTCTTTAGTGACTTAATGGGTGGGGACACCGCCTCCGTTATATATGCACATATACTCTCACAGTGTTTAAGGTCAGATTGATATTGAGGTCACGATTATTAAACATGACTGCTCATTGATTTTCCAACATCTGCATTATATTAATTTATTGGCAAAGTAATTGTTTAATCCAGATTATCTTTTTTTATGATCATGGGAAGCCAAAATTGTCATTGAAATTGAAACTGGATTAATTGCCCGGTCCTGGGTCAGACTGTCTTTATCGCAGCCTGTGGTCACAGCATCAGGGTCGGGTCAGCTGTAGCAGTTAGAGATGATAATCTCTGGCACAGAAAACATGAATTCTTTCAAACTTCTTCTAAGCCTCTAAAACCATTTTGGTTATCCATTCCTCAGCGCACATGTGTTTAAATTCATTAAAATACTGAATCAAAACAAATTAAAGGAATATACTAAATGAAAACTGTTGTTTAAAAGAGAGGATGGGGTGTCCAGTTGTTGTAGACATCTGGTTGCTACTTGCTCAGTTTTCCTCCACCTCACTAAGCTCTCTAGCTGCTGCAGCCGAGCCGAGGATTCAGGTTTTGATTGCACCATCATGTAAAAAGAAGGATGTTTTCGTTCCTGTATTGTGGGAAGGCTGTATTGAAAATGCTAACACAACCTAACCTTCAATTCATCTATTAACAGGCAGACAATGAAGTTTATGCAGACCTAAAGCCCCTTGGCAACCAGCTGCAACGTGTCCACCTGATTTATCATCTCAGTCTGTACTCCCTGTACAGATTTAACCAATCATTTTATTTTTTTCTGCTGTAAGAACTGATATCTTAATATGAGAATTCATGGCTTTGTAGCCAGCCTCAAGTGGACACTCAAGGAACTGCAGTGAGTTGTAAATTCTGCCGCCAAGGTGATCTCTATCAAAACAATAACAAAAGATGACGTCGAAGCTGGCGGGAAATCATGCTTCATTTATTTTAACACTGGTGGTTTCCCACTTGGTTAAAACTTTGTAGTCAAGGGAGGCCACTATAATATTTTTAAAATTACATAATAATATTTCTTGCATTAGCTCATGTTTGCTCTGCTTGTATGTTGACACAGTGAAATGAGTCAAAGGGAGTTGGAATCTCTCATCTCCAGGGAATATTGATTTTAGAACAGTCTGTCTGTTTACAGCATGACTGAGCTAAACTCTGCTTTTCTCTCTTTTTTTCCAGGAGCTAACATCATCAACACTAACTGCTCAGCAGCTCACACCCGACAGGCTCTGTGCTGCAAGATGTCCGTGGAGTACGACAAGTTCATCGAGTCGCAGAAGAAGTGAGTGAACAAAGATCTGAACCCGGTCTAAACGCATGAAATCAACCAGTTCAGCAGTTACTAATGGAGATGTCTGTGTTTGTGTTGCAGGTGGTTCTGTCACGTTGATGATGATAACTACGTGGTCCTGCCCAGCCTGCTGCGCCTGCTCTCCACCTACCACCACAGCCAGGACGTGTACCTGGGCCGGCCCAGTCTGGATCATCCTATCGAGGCTGCAGAGAGGGTCAAGAGTGACGGATCGGTAAGTCAACGTTGTTTCTGGCTCCTCTGACAAATACACCAAATACATCCTCTGGTTTATATTGAATTCACCTCTCATGGCTGGCTCGTTTTTTCTGTCTTTTCTCAGGTGTCTGTCAAGTTCTGGTTTGCCACAGGTGGAGCAGGTTTCTGTATCAGCAGAGGGTTGGCACTGAAAATGAGCCCATGGGCCAGGTAGGTCACAGACTCCCCTGGTGTGATCCAAACTGTTGTACCCTCTGAGTCCAGGGTACTCACCCTGTTTATAATGTTAGAAAAACATTTTCTTTCCATGACTATGATCAGAATGAGAATCCTCTTCGTAAGCTCTCGAGTATCTAAAGAATAAGAAGAATGTTTTTAGGTAACCGTCAGAGAATGTGCCTGGACTTGTTGTAGTCAGCTGAGACACAAATAATCAAAGTAATGAGAACAGCTGTTGTAGTTTGTATTTATTTTGAGCTGCCAGAGAAATGGCAGCCCCCTCTGCCTAACCCATTCTCTTATTTCTTAAACGTTTCAACAAAAACGGGCGGACCGAATATAAAACAATAATCTGTCCCAGATGATGGTCAAAGGGAATCACACAAAACAAAGTGGTCATAATGCTGCACCTCTGGCTCAGGTTGTGATTTTGTAATGCTCAGTAAAGAGATCTGTTGGTGTTGAAATGTGTTTTTAATTTGTCCATCATGTAAATAAAACACTTTAAAATCCTTAATAGGTTTGATTCAGACAGTTATGTTTACAAAAAACTCTAAAAGTGCTCTTCATTAATTTATACTGGAACAGAAGGAGAGGTGAGATTAGAAGTTACTGCTTTGACAAAGTCTAAAAACACTCAGAAGTGCGCCCTCTGGTTTCAGTTTGGGGAATTTCATCAGCACAGCGGAGAAGATTCGGCTACCGGACGACTGCACCATCGGCTACATCATCGAAGCGCTGCTGGAGGTGACGCTGACACACACACACCTGTTCCACTCTCACCTGGAGAACCTACAGAAGCTGCCAACGGACACTGTGCTGGACCAGGTGAGTGTGTGTGCGTGTGTGTGGACAGTACTTTAGTGTTTAACACTAATGATCGTGAGAAAGCAGGAAAAGTCGACATATTCCGAGAAATGCGGCTGTGGAAGAAATTCTCATGTTCATATTTACGACCATTTAAAGACTCGATACTTTCATACTGTATGTCACTGTTATACTAGCGTCAAGAACGATTGTCTCATCATCTGCTGGGTGTATTTTGTGTTTGTGTGTAACAGGTGACTCTGAGCTACGGAGGTTTTGAGAACAGGAGAAATGTGGTCAGCATAGTTGGAGGTTTTACGCTTTACGAGGACCCCACGAGGTAAGCTTCTTCACCGCTCTTTTGTGTGGCATGTAATAAACAATATCCCCTTTTGACTCGCAGACAGGGATCTGATTGTGAGTGCATAATGTATAAATGTCTTTAATAAAGGTCTTTACGAGGCCTTAGCAGCCTTCTCAGCACCCTCACATGGTCCTGTGATATTCACATGTTAGTTCTGATCCTTGGTGATTGTTGATATCCAACAAGACAGGAGAATCATTCTCCTCCTACAAAGGTCTCAAAAATCATATTTCTGTTGGCTCGACGGTGGATATCGTGCATTCACCGTTGGATAGTTTGTGTCCAAAAGTAACATGTAACACTACATTTCTACACATAGTCTTGTTTTTGTGTAATTAAATCAATCACATCAATAGTATCGTGCAAGTTCTCAGTTGTTAATAAACAAAATCGAATACAGCTTAAACTTTATTGTTGATGCACGGAGCAGCCATGTTGGAATTCAACACCGACTACTGACGTTGCTTCAAGCTTCCGAGGCGGAGATCTGACTTCAAGGGGCATTCCTGAAGTTCCTGAATTTCTGATTTCGGAGATCAAATGGAACGAACGATACAGCCACGCGGTATAGCGGGGAGAAGAGGCCTATTAAACGGAGCTGCAGCCCGGACTAGTGGCGGGAGGGCTGTATTACAGCTTAGAGACATTAAACCAGCATTGAGGGCCAACATCAATAACCATTTACTGACTTGTAATTCTGGTGCTCACTAGACAAGGGAGACAATGAAGTACTAAGACACATCATTTAAACACACCTCGCAGTTTGATCAGTTGTTGATTTTTTTTTTTTTCTCTAAACAAATTTAGTGAAGGTTTACACTTTCGGTGCTTTAATTGAATATGACCCTAACCGTCATTTCCCCCTCTCCTGCAGGTTTAAGACAGTCCACTGCCTCCTGTATGCAGACACTGACTGGTGTCCAAAGCTCAAAGCTCGCCACAAACACTGAAAGCCTCTGAGTTCTTACCCTGCAGCACCGGTACTTCAAAACCTCTCTGTCTCTCTCATAGACTATCCAAATCAGTTTCACCTCAAGCTTCATGGACGCTCTGAGCAAGTGTGAGCTAGAGATACGAGACGAATGGATCAAACGCATCATGTCAATAATTATTAGAGCCAAAGAAAGACTTTTCTCAGCTTGAGGGGTGAACGCTGATGACACCGTTTCTACTCAGAGTTGATCATTAACATTAAGAACACAGAAACACAACAGTCTCTGTGATGATATGAAGTATTATTACATGTGTTGTATTCTGTTCAGTCTCTCGCCATGATGAGCTTAATTGGGAGAAAGTGGTCATGTCAACCTTCTTGTTTTCTTCGGTTACACTTTGATTCTTGCAGCTTTTCTGTTCACTCCACATTGACATCCGAGAGTTCAACATGTGCAGCGAGAGTTTTGAGGCTGTTCTGGATGGGGATTTGTAAACTCTGATAAGATTCAAGTAAAAATCAAATGACATCGATACCCGTTTTGTTAACACAGCAACGGCAATAGAAGCCCCGGGCGCCCAGTATTTGCCACATTTACCAAGAAATGACCAAACTCCTTCCAATTTCTAAATTGCACAAATATGTTGGCAATGTTTTTGTGCAATTCTGACACTGCTCTCTCTCTCTTTCACCCTTGACTGAGTGTTTTACAAGCTGAATTCTGGACATTTTTAACTTGACCGTTTGAGTAGCTAAATGTGCTTGCATAGGCATGTTCCTGAAAGACACAAGAGTTATTCACTAATTATAAACACCAAAAACCTGCAGAGGAGCTAAATGGACTCGTCTGCCGTCACAGGCAGGAGATGTAATGTCTGAAGCTGTCCTCTTCTTATCAAACACAGGGGGCTGCCTTTAGAGACCCTGCCTTTACAATCACAAACTTTTATTCAATGAGTACTGGTTGTGAAATTCAACACCTGCCTCTTCCACTGAGTAGAGAACCACTTCCTGCTTTTGCTTAAATGAAGGGCCCGAGCAGTATTACTTAAACATACTCTGATAAAGAGTGTGTCGTGAAGATGTCTTTATTTCCCTGTCAGCCTTAAACCAATGACTCTCACTGTTTCAAAGGTCATTTTACAACTTAAGAGTTCAGTTATTCTCATGATACAATAAAAGGAGAACTTTTTAAAGGGATAGTTTTTTGAAGTGGGGTTGGTTTGAGTTCATGTCAACATTAGTGTATTAGCCACAGGAGATAGAGATGGGGCAAATCTTACCGAGTAATTTAGCTAATTCTAAGAAAAACCAACCCTAAACTGATGAGTCAGTGTAATCTGTCTTTAGAAAAATGTTTGTGCTTTACTTTACCCTCAGAGAGCAACTTTGTTCCTCCGCTGGCAGCGCACTGATCAGCTGTTCGGGTCGGCAGCTTTGAAAAAGACAACACATCGGGGCGCCGGTAGCCGAGCTGTTGTGCATGGGCTCCATGTGCAAAGGCTGGAGTCCTCACAGGTTGGCGGCCCGGGTTCGAGTCTGACTATCTCTCTCTCCCTATTTTTTGACTCTATCCACTGTCCTGTCTCTCAAATAAAGGCCCCAAATTGATCTAAAGAAAGAAAGAGACGACAAATACAAACAAAAATAAACGAGCAGTTTTGTTACCGTGCCGGTACTTCATCAGGTTTCTCTATCCCCTGTGGGTAATAACCTTAATGTATCTTATACAACCCCACTCCAAGAAAAACTGAACTATCCTTTAAAAGAACTCTCATTCAGATGAATTTATTACAAAATGATCACAGAAGAGATTGAAAGAAATCCTCCGTTGAGAGTTTATTTTAGTCTGTTGTCATTTTTCGGATGCCTTCACATTTTGAGATGAAGACCTTCTCCTTCTTTTACCTTGTTTTTTACAGGCTCATCTGTCTGGTTTTGCACTACTTTGCTCGATTCCTGTTTGTTACTGTGCTGGTGTAAATATGATAAAAGGTCGTCAGGTCTTCTTTCTTTGTGTAGGTTTTAGTTTGAGCTCTACGTACCCGACTTTTTAAAGCAGAGCTGCTCTGTGGAGAGGTGATGACTTTGTTGGAGCCGAATACATCAAAACAACATTTTCTTTATTCTGTTTTTTTTGGGATATTCATGTCTTCCATAAAAAATAAAAAAGCTCTTATATATTTTATTGTTTAAAAATGAGGATAGTTCTTATTTTGGCTCTAATAAACTTTTTATTCTGTTTCCACCAGCATCAGTATTTCTGTCTGTAAAGTATTTGAGTTAAACTTCTGTCCCTGTCCCACACCAGACGAGAATCCAAACCCCTGAGTCTGTCCCACTGCAGGCCAGTGGAGGAGACTGAGTGACATGTTTTTTTTTTGTTTTTTTTTGCAAATCATCAACCACTGATGTGTTATTCTGTTGTTTTATAAGAATAAACTTTTTCTGCGTCCTTGAACATTTGACTGTTTTATTGTTGACATGTTCCACACGGGGGATTCAAACAGGAAACACTGTCAACAAAACATTACTTTGGCAGCATTATATTCATGCAAAGAGAATGACATCATGTAAAAGTGGGATGACGTGTCTTACAGATTTATAGAAACTTGTTTCACCAAACCTCCTGGGAGCTGTCTGTGTACAATCAATCAGACCCCGTTAGACAGGATGCTGAGCTCACTGTGGGCTAAACACTGACGTATATGTGGATATGATACAAGAGATGAGATGCTGAATGACTGCTCCGATGTCACAAAGTGGCATCCATGACCCACAAGTTAGGAACCACTGAAATAGAACAGAGATTACACATTACTGATATTTTTTACTTGCTTTGTATTGTCTTGTTGCACATCGGTATGCTGACAATAAAGCTTTTTATTCTGAGTAAATTAGGCTAATTATAATACTAGAAAGAAAATAGGAATTATTGTAATTAAATTAAATAATTGATATTGCAAAACAACATTGATTTATTAAATAAAATCATGCTCATTGAGACATCAGTCTGTAAAATTAAAAAGGCGTTTTTAAATGTTGCTGGTGTCTCTGATCACTGTTTCAAAGTGTTACATGTACCCCTGGTCTCCCCTTTGAATCGTTTTGGTGTTTTGGGGCTATTTAAAGTAAATGACAGTTTAACACACAGTCCACGGTGCTTTCTGTCTGCTCACTGTGACTGTGCAGACTGACCTGGAACAAAAACAGCTTCTTCTTTTTTTCCAACTTTAGTGGAAGTTTAACCTTTGAGTTCAGCAGAACTTTGTGTTCCGCCTCCTGCAGCTTGCAGCCCGGACAGACTGACAGACAGACAGACACATCTGCCTGCAGCACATCCGGTAAGAATATGTTACACTCTTTTAGGAAACAAAACAAAGAAGCTATAAAGTTTTGGTTTTGGATATGAAGTGAAGAAGATCCAGGGGACAAGCATGAACTAGTCACGTGACTCTCCCATGTGACCTCTCTGTTGATCTCTTCCTGTAGTTTATCGTCGTCTTTTTCTTCTTCGTTTGTTTTAGCATTTCTCTACAGCTGATTTTGGACCTGACCGAACATGGAGATTTCATTTGCCGGCAAACGAGCTCTGGTCACAGGAGCAGGAAAAGGTAAAGACGTCCCTGAAATACAAAGTGCAACATGCAAACAATGACACATCAATGAAGTGTAGAGCAGAAAAAGTCCAACTTAAAGAAAAAAAATATATAGATGTAGTTTAACAAACCGAAAGCTACTGCAAAACAAATAAAGTAGGCTACAAGTTAGACTATATTGCATGTAGTTCCCAACTTCGTGTGTGTGCTGCAGGGCTGAAGAGGTGGATGTGTTTGCAGATTGGTTTCTCCTTCTGTAAACTTTGCTGTGATTCCACTTCATCCAGCATGATGGGGTTTGTAGTTTGCATGGTTATGCTTTTAGACTACCTTCTGCAACACAGGTTACACAATTGTAAACAAATGCATTTGAAATGGTACAAAGGCCATCGCAGGCCAATGCAGCCAGATTTTAACTTTAGTTTCACACAATGAAATACATTTCAGTAAAGTACAGAATATAGGTAGAGCAATGCTTCCTGACGTCTGGAGGGAGAGGATACAAACAAAAAGAATCAAAGTAGATAAATCAAACCACAAGTTGAGTGTCATGGTGTGCCGGTAGCCGATAGCGGGTACAGAGGCTTAAGTCCTCTAGAGAGGACGGCCTGGGTTCAAATCTGACCTGTGGCTCCTCTCCCACATGCCATTCCCAACTCTTTTGGAGGTTTTAATTAAGTTAAGGTTTTAATTAAATTAACAGAGCATTTAGGCGCAGCATGTAACACCCACGAGTCCATTCTATAGTGACCTTAATTTAACATGTTGCCAAAACTGATCCCATATCTCTCTCATCTTTCTTCCACAGTTAATTTTTCCCAACATGTATTCATATGATGAGATTTCATCAGCCCATTCCTTCAAAGTGGGAGAGCTGGGGTCCTTCCAGTTTCGCAGTTTAATTCTTGCGGCAGTGATAAATCCAACCTTTAAAATGCTGAATTAGTTATTTGTTATGTAATAGGTACCAGTGTCTTGTCGCTAAGGAGGCAAGGTTGTGGGTGCACTGGAAGAGTGGCACCAATCCACTCCCCCAGCATCTCCAAATGATTACACAGGAATAGATGCACCAAAGCACATTCTCTCTCCCTGGTTTCTGACTCTATCCACTTCCCTCTCAAATAGAGGCATAAAATCCCCCCAAATTATTATTTTTTTGTCCGCATTTGTCATTTGTAGGCTACCCCAAAATATGTAAGAATAGGGCCCTGCCAAAAATAGGCCTCCTAGAACTCCCATTTCAATTATTACGATTTAAAAATAAATGTGAGTGAAGCTCTTGAAGTGATGAAAATGAAACGTTGCACGTTCCCTCAGAGTCTTGTTTGACAGAGAGCGAGAGAGTGGAGATTAAAGAGCTTTGTTGTTGATGCGGTGCGGGGTTTGTCGAAGCCTCAGACATGTGGAATGTGTGTGGAATGTGTGTGTGTGTGTGTCAGCTCTGGTGTCTCTAATGAGTCTTTGTGTTTATGGATGTTTGGTGTCTCAGGGATCGGCAGGGCCACAGTTCTGGCTCTGGCACGCTGCGGGGCAAAGGTCACGGCGGTCACACGCACGCAGGCCGACCTGAACAGTCTGGTGCAGGAGGTAAGAATACCTACCCCCCACCCCACCCCACCCCACCTACCTTCAACTCTGACCTCTCCATATTCTCTTCTGTTTTATCTCTCCAATTGTTCTCTCAACTCATCATGTGACGTGTACTTCTGAATCAGCCTGCTCTTCTTCTCCACGTCCAGTGATGAAGCCCAAGAGTTGAATTTTTATTAATCCGAGATAAAAACAGACTTAAACTTTGAAGTGTAATGTGATGATGGTACAGTTGAGAGAGGTGCTAAAGTTTGTTCTTGATCTTAATTTAGTAGTGATTTAGTTGTGTGTGCGCTCACAATTAACAATCTCTTCATGCAGATTTCTTTACCTAGAACAACCAACGAGTCAATGACTGACTTAAGACACAATTTATGATCAGTTCTCAGAAGCATCCATTATAACAGTGATTCCCAAAGTGGGGCAGGGGACCCCTATGGGGCCTGGAGTTATGACAACAGGGGGGCCCGACGAGGCTTAACTAAAACAATGCAGATCTTTTTGCACTGCTAACAAAGCATAGCTAACTTTGTGAGAGGACTTCCAGGTGAATGTAAGGCTGGAACTGAATCTACACCAGACGAAACAAATGAGGAAGTTTCACTTTTAATGTCATCCTCTATAAAAGTGGCTCGTTAGTTTTTTTCAGTTTAGTCGTCACACATTGAAGTTGCTATTCGGTACTTTTTGCAGAAGATGTTTGAGAGAAATTCTAAAAATATAAGAATTTATCGGCGAAGAGCGTGACTGACGGTGTGTTTAGTGTATGACGATATATGTGGATGTGTACCCTCACATATTTATTACAGGCCTGCATGACATATCTGATTCTGATTGGCCAACTACACACTACGCATCAATGGCACACCGTTGTTAGGAAGAACAAACCGTTACTATGAAGAGCAGATAGTTGCTAGGACACAGCTTTTATCACTGGAGGGCTGGCTGTAATCAAATCAGTTTGCAGTTTCAAATCTGTTTGACTGGCAAACCGAGGGGCGTCCAAAACGGTCGTGTGGGGTGCCTTAAAACAGAGCCAACCTTCTCTGGTCAGAACAAGAACAGACAGGAACCGAAACTTAGAAGGAGGACGTACTGGCATGTTATCCTTAATGTCTGATGATATACTGCGGTCATTTTATGATTTGATTCAGTAGATATATTACATATCACGCCTTTAAATAGAAGAAAAGTTGTAAGAGAGAAGAAAGTTGTCGATTCTTATTCCAACTTCTTTTTGAATGGTTTTTGTTTCTATAACTGTAAAATAAATGTCTTCGCTGTTGTTTTCTGTTATCTGCACCAACGTGTGTGTTGTTGGCTCTTCCTCTCACAGTGTGCGTCTGTAACCCCGGTGTGTGTGGACCTGGCAGACTGGGGGGCCACGGAGGCGGCCCTGCAGGACGTTGGCCCCATCGATCTGCTGGTGAACAACGCTGCCTATGCCGGCTTACAGCCATTTCTGGAGGTCACACCTGACCAGTTTGACCAGTAAGAAATATGACAGGATACTACAAACCAGAAAAGAAAAAAGTACATCAAATATGCTTTACATACAGTTTGAGTCAGAGCTTACATTTGAATGATGCTTTGACCTGTTCTGTTTATTCTCTTCACCTCCAGGTCGTTTAATGTGAATGTGAAAGCTGTGCTGCACGTCTCTCAGGTGAAGTAACACCTCTGTCACTCTACTCATGCTCAGCACTCTATTCTTTATCTTTTTAGTGTTTGTTGGCTAATTTATAGATTATGTTTAAATACTTCCAGCAACTTTGATGAAATCTGGCAGCAGCAAAAATTTAACCCATAACTCAAAATGTCCACATAATCAGCGCGAGTATGTGGACATTTTGGAGACCAGTTTTCTGATTTCTCCTGACGTAGACTTTAACCTTGATGGTATTTTAATGTGTTGTTCGAACAGATAGTAGCTCGTGGTATGAAGGCCAGAGGGTCCGGAGGCTCCATCGTCAACGTGTCCAGTCAGGCCTCACAGTGCGCCCTCAGAGACCACTCTGTCTACTGTGAGTAACACACAGAACATTCACAGGAAAGGCAAGGTTCCACTTTGTTAACTGATGAGGTGTTCACACGTCATGTTTAATTGAGTATGGACTGTAAACAAGTAGTGTTAAAAAAACATCTTTGTTTTAAAAGTGAAGCCCATGCAGAGGTCAGTTTGATGTATAAACTAAAATAAACATTCATGTTCTCATCCACAGTTTGAACTCTTTCCCATAAAGCACGATGTTCAAATGGTCCCATTTATAGA